CCAGAAACCTAGCACAGCCAGTCCAAAGGGCGCCCACAACAGATACCTGTATCTTACAATTGTTTCGCATTATATAGTGTAACTCAAATGATTCAAAAGATAGTTAATTGAGTACTATGACATATACCCGGATGGCTACCGATCGATACTCATCGACGAGAATGCTCGAGCCACGCATTCCACACACCAGTGCAACCTTTAAGGAGGAATTGTTAGAAAAGGCGATACGAAGCTATGAAATTGTAATCCATATCATTGGAATGCATCAGCTTTTGTACGGAAGAAATAAACAACTTATTTTACCAGTAGGTTGCGAAATGTACCTCGGCCGTTTCAAAAACTATCGCACAGTGATTCCCAAATATTTGACGAAATGTAGGTTACTTAGTGGTTATACTGAAGAAACGGTTCGATTCACATAGAAAGTCGATTGAGAAGTGGGAATTTTGTGATCGGAGCAATTGCAGAATATCAGGCCTATAACCACTAACACCAATTCATCATGAATGTAGCTCAGAGTACTGCGCAGAATACACATTCACATGGTTTCAGAAGTAATGCATCGCGGGGCCACGCCAATGACGCACTAAGTAAGATAATTAAGACAAATAATAAATTGGGAGTAGGAAACAACCAGAAGCTTTCAATATGAATGTAATACCTATAATTATATTAGAATGAGAGCAGAAAACAACCAAAAGCTTTCAATACGTAGTTTATTACACATGCGTATCTTTCCTTGAATCCAGTCAATATTTCTAAAGATAAAGAATAAAGCGGAATTCTGTTATCGTACAGTTGTATTTCAGAGGCTTTAATACAGCGACGACCGGTCATTTTGATGGTCTAAGGCATCGGTGCGACAACCGACCTAGTGGTGCCTTTCGTTGTGCACTAATCCTATTCTCCGGGCGGCGTTCCCGGTTGTCCATGAATAGACAGTACGTCTTTGAGGATATTGGGATAACCACTTTCACTCTACTGATGCGCCAGTTTGCACTTCAAAAACTGATTTATTGAATACTTGGTCGAAATGTGAATACTTCTAGTTTTATTATTGGTATCATCATACCACAATTGACTTCACTGGTAAATGGCCATTTAATATCCAAAATTATACTTCACCAAACCCTGACTTGTTCCTCGTGAATTCCTGTTATTATGGAATTCCCAAACACAGAATATAATCTTTTTCCAGAAAAAAATAGCAGTCCAATTCACTTTTGAAGTTTGGAATATGTGTATCGAACAACCTCCGACCAAAACCGTCACTCCGTAAAATTATTAAGTAGAGATACATGGGCCAGAACAAAGTCAGTGCCGTTTTTTCTACACTGTTTTCTACAAATAGTTGTCATATGATTGTTGAATCTGTTTTGTCCGTTTCCAACCCTGTACATTCGTCAGCACCAACTTATGCTACCTTTTGAACCTGTTTCGATGTTTGTGATTCATAAGTCGTTGACCACATGGTTGCACTGTTATCAGTTCACGATATATCTCCGCTCCCACAAGCGTTTCCCGTTCGTCACACACACACTCATTGAACCATTATTCGTTTGATTTACCCTGATCTGAACTAGACTGTTTGAATTGGGCACCAAATTCTGATCAGCTTCACTCGGCAGGCTTAAATGAACACGCGCACACCTACGTACACACGCATCCACACAAGATTCTGCGACTTTTTCAACCCCCTGAGAAATCGTTTCCTTGCGTACCTGAGTGAATGCCTGCCCTACTCGCAGGTTGGTCGACTCGTCGATCGCTGTCAGCACATTCGCCTTTCTCCAGTCTCCAGTTTCGTTCGGTTGTAAAAATCAGTGTTGAAAAAGGTTACCCGTAGTGACCTAAACGTCGACAACCTATCAACGATTTCGTCTACCCTGTATTACTGAACAATACAATTTTACTATAAAATTTCATATGGAGCATCGATTGTTCAATACATTCCGAACCGATTCCGGTTCTGAAAAATTGTTCGCCTATCTCTTCGTTTTGCCCCTTAACACGTGTTCTTTCATTGTCCGTCTTTCTTGTACTCTTTCGATACCCGAATTAGTGACTCATCTTCCTCGGCTGATTGACCCTAGTTTGTGTTATCTTCCCTGATCTGTACGGAACTTGAGTGAATAGTGATTCCCCTGAGAACGCCAGGTTTTCACGTTCGTACATTTAACACTGTGATTCATTATTGTTGGTAGTACCGCTAATAAACCTCGGTTAGTTGATTTGGTTTCTGAGGAGAGCGCATCACTTGAACTTGGCCTTGACACCGGATAGACTTGACAATATTTTAGGAACTGGATGTAGGCATTCTACAATATTGATATATGTAGCGAGCACCCTTGTTTGCGCCATTCGCAGCGCAGCTGTTCTTCCTGGACACCAAAAAAGCAAACTCATTCAAATGCAAGTGCGAGCCTAGATTATCTATTTTTATGTCTGCAATCCGAATGATAACTGCTCCGTACGAGCATTTCCAGTTTAAACTTCCGGTCTCCTATTAACTATATCTGGTTTTGAGTCGCGACTCAAATACTATTCTATATACTCACGTGAACTGTTTAACAGTCTAACACAAATTTACCTCCAGTTACTTGACCGCATTTAAGCCAGGGATTTTTAGGAAATAAAGTCTGTATGGCAAGCGAGCGATTCTTGCCAGTCATAATTTACGGTACATGACACAGTCCAATCAAGAGTTGTCCGGTCATTATGATATGTTAAGAACTTAGTAGAAATCGTTTGCAAACCAAAAGTCGCATTGTATGTAATGCCCGCGAAGACCCCATCCTTGAATACCTGGGAGATCTTTGGCTGGTGAAATACATGGAGCACCATCCACGTAACTCTCCATTGGGTGCCGCAGAACCCTCTTATTTATAGTCACTTATCAATCGGTAATATAGGCAAAATATAAAGCATTCAAATTTTACGGATACTCGCGGTTACACTCCGGAATCGGTAGCCTGAAATAATAAAGACCATTGGTAATATAATACTAACGTAATATGATACAAAAATATTTTCAGATGAACTTAAAAAGCCTACTAGTCTGCCAACCGAATTTGGTCATCCAGATTATGCATACGGAACAGCGGACATGTGTGAAGGCCGTCATAATTTTGATCATGAACATTCAAGAATAAGGTATTGGGAATTCTCGAATCAAAAATGATTGCAAACCTTATGAAGTCTGAAATGTTCGAAAGTCTGTGTGTCTCTGTTTGGCCTATATTTCCAATGCAGATGTCTTAAATAAAAGATAATCACATTTACCACAAAGGACCATAAGACAATCATTTAGCAGCCAGTTTCTGTTATTTAGCGACTAAGGCCTAGGGTTCAGCAACCAAACCTTCACAACACACTCAGATCGCATATGGTCAAATCACGTGTGAGTTATCTCTCTCAGGTACGAAATTCCGTACTCTTGTGTAAATCACAAGAACGGCCCCGTGTTCCTTGCACACTGGTTCGTCATCCCTTTTCAAGTAACCAGCTGAACAAGTGCTTCAAGATCCTCAGTGTACCCGGTGGAGGATGTAAAGATCATCGACCTAATGGAACAAACGAATATATTCTCACATTGTAAGTGAAGAAAGTTTACAGATTAGGACCATAGAAGAATTGGTCAGGGAGTAAAGAACGTTGGTGATTCAAAACTTAAGAGAGAGGGTACCGATACACCCGAGTCTTTCGACCGACTTCTACTGATAATATTGATGTTTATGGGTAAACCACGAAGAGATCATGCAATCATCTGGCCAAGCAACACAAGGCTGATTTCTTGGAGAGACGAGATCAACAGGCAACTTGGTTGCCGGAGCATGGTAGTTCTGTCTTACATTTTTACATAAATGAGACCAGATACAAAATCAGGTTTTCCCAGACACGATGGTGATTGACAAAGCAAATTGCCACCAAGCAAAGTTGTAAACCTCAGTATGGTTGACCGCTGTTCAACGATCGGTATGCCATATTAGAAATACCACTCCAGAATAAACACTTATTTTTTCATCAGCTTTCCTGAAAGGTATTCTTTCAATGTCAACTGGACAATGAAACACCAATATCGTATTTTTGTTCGTCAACGCTCCGGTTGACCTACTGGCTGGTGAAGCTGGAAACTGGATGTGCTGTTCAGTATCTGTTTCTCAATAGTTCATTCTTTCTCCCAGCTTTTACAAGTGAAACAAACAAAAGTTGTCAGAATACAGTAAAATGCCATATATTGAAGGAAAAATCCAACGGAGTGTATCCGCTATTGGATAAGCAGTGACTCCATTGTTTACTATTTTTCACTGCCTAGAATGTCTTCTGAATGGACAAGCAAGTATCCCAATGTGTCTTTACTGTCATGTAGTGCACAGTTACACTTGAATCTATGAGTTTATTCTAAAATAACTGATATTAGAGAAGCATCATTCTTTTGGTAGCTTATCTAGTTTATGGGCCTGAAGAACGTACCGATTTTAGGGGCGTATCCTAAACTTCGTGTTTACCGGTAAGTTGTCCAGACTCCGAATGAATGACTATCGCGTTCTTCAGGCGGTTTTGCTTTTTCCTTCTTCCTTACACCCGTAATATTGATATCCCATCTGACTCCACCGGAACTTTAATGAACTACGCTGATGTCGTAAATATTTGTCAGGGTATATCAAACAAAGTGGAATTTCATTTCCCATCTGATAATCTTTATCCTGAACAGTGTCACCTTTCTTGCAACCCAACGATCTACATCCTGGGCACGCCTTCTGGATCAAAACAATTGGCGCTGTGACCATGTTGGATCTACGTTGGCCGCAGCCGCTAGAAGATGGGGACGGAGGAAGCATCCTGGAGAAGCTCGAGACCTTGATGAAGCCTTCGGAGATCCAATAGGGCTGGAACAAGTTGGCTGCCATTCGCGGAATTCCTGAGGACAGAGTGCGAAAGTGCTGCATACGGTGTGAAGATATCCGGAGGAGATGAAGTGGGCCGTCACGAAACACGCCATGGTTGCCGGACTCGACACCTCTGCCGACCGTCAGGATGCAATGCAGCGGTTCAAGTCACCCCTGTTGGGGGTTGGTGTGGACCCACTGCTGCATGCCGTCGCGTTCCGTTCACTGCTGGATCGTGCTCTGTCTACGCTAGATGAGGTGTCATGGGCTGACACGTTGGCTGACCCATTTGGGGATAGTCTGGCAGAGTCCCTGCGTAAAATGGTACGCGTATCCCGTGTCGGCCATTCCACGGATTTACTCCAGATAGCAGACATGGCTCGAGATTTATTCATTCTTGATGTGCCTGTGGTCAATATGGCCCCTGTCGACGATTCAAGAATGAACATCGGATTTATGGAGAAGACGTCGGCACCAAGAATTCTGAATCTGGAAATCAGGGCACTGGATGTTGAACGGTCTGAATAAACCCACTGATCATGCTGTGAAAGTATGGAACTTATCTTGAACGAACAATCTGAAACTCAGAATGAAACTGAAGAAAGTACACCGGAAATATTACTACCGAAATATTCAACTACTACTGGTGCGTTGGAGAAAGTCAGGAAGCTGAACGAAGTCAGCGGAGTTGTGGAAAACTGTCACCGAGTTCGTTTCAGAAGTCAAAAAGACTACGATGACAATGTAGATACATCGTCTGACTCAGTGGCCATTCGGGCAATGAAATGTGGCTCAAGTCAGTGAAAGGTCGAAAATAATGACAAATGTCAGTGCACATCATGAATCGGCAGTCCGCACAATGTGGATCGTTAGTTGTCAGGACGGGAGTGTGGCGGATTATTCATACTACTTGCTGAATAGATGCGTAGTTGTTGGTTGTTGGCTGAAGGTCATCTGTAATCAGCGGTTGGTACAACCGACTTACAGCGATGACCTCAACCTGATCACTGCCTGACAACTGTGTGGTGCGAAAGGCATTTTACGCTGTCCACTACCTCTTCGGTACTTTCTGTAAACTAAAGCCCGTGCCAGTTTTCCTGGTATCAAGGGTGCGATGCCATCAAATAAATTCCTTACCGCGATGTGGCTGAATAACACTTACAGCACACTGCTGATTAATCCTGAGAATAAAAGGGTTCACGTAGGGCTAAATCTGAATTTTCAGCCATTCCTTCATCAACAAAGACCGTGTTCATTCTTATGACACCGAACAGAATTCCAGTTTCATATCAGCAGCGATGCTTTAGGAATTTTGATATGCAAAGCATTGTTTGGGATATATTTCAGCAGGGGACACAATTTTTGCGTATCGCAGAGATGTATGAACGATTGCGGAAGGTTTGAAAGGCCTGGGTGTATAGATTTAGGTCAGATTGTGATATCTGAACTGCATCCAGCACATTTCCAACAAAAACACCATGTGCTCGATATTGTGGGAATGAAAACCATCCATCATCATTTCAGCAATTTGACTGGGAAATAAACACCACTGTCATGATGGCTGCTTTGGTATTTATGCGTGTATCCAGTCTGTTCTCATGGTTTTAGATTGATCAAAATAACCTGAAGCAGTGCGTGAGCTATATCGAGCATATAAAACGTTCATTAGAAATACTGGATTTTGAATGAGAGGGGAGCCATTTATTCGGAATCATGTAATCCTGTAATTTAATAAAGTTGGGGGGAGAATGTCAAGTGTGTGTGATTACGAATATAATAATAGGGACAATAAATCAAAGATAAGCAGCTTTTGTTCTCCCGACACGGGATAGCTTAGTGTCAGGTGTACTGAATTTGAAGCTTTTGAAATGACAAATAAATACCTAAGAAACAATGCTGTCCGGAAATGTGACGAATGCCCTGTCCGACGTCAAAAGGTGATATCATCCACAGAATACCCCGGTAATGCTTTACATTTTCCGTATCTCACTTTGGTATAATATCACTCAAGCCTCGAATATACGGATAAAATATCTCATTGCAAACTTGCATGAACTGAGGCTGACCGAAATCCACTCGTCCTTTAAACAATAACAAATTCGTTGATTGTTTACCGTTTGTGATCCAGTTTCCCATACCAATACAAGTACTATTGCTACATGACTAGTGCGGACTTCTCAGTAATGTCTAACGTTCAAAAAATATTTTAGTCCTTCCATTCAGCAATTACTAGAATGCGAAAGTTAGACTGTGGAAAATCAATTCGTGTACAATTGAATATAAATGCAAAGGCAGAAGTCACTTCTTTCGGACCATAATAAGTATATGGACACTTTCTTCTAGGCGCATGCCAGTTGATTTCGTGCAATCGAAGATTCAAAGCAACCCCAATTTTTCTCATCTGGAAGAAACGGCAACTGAAGCTGAATCGACCAATTTGGATGGAACCGTTCCACGCTTTCCTCTATCGGTGCGTTTCTCGCAGTTGCACATAGAACGCCAGTGACATTCGTAATGCATTACCGGAAATCCACTATCGGCGAAGCTTGTACGGTTGAAATACCAAAATCGTGTACATGTGGTTCTTCTGGTCCCCAAGAAATCGTCACTTCAACCTCCCTGGTCACAGAACCAGTATACCCAGGATCGACAACGCACCAACTGGAATCTTCAGTTATCCATTCCTTCAGGAGCATATCGATTTTCGTGCAAGGAGTAGATACGTTTGGCATATGTATGGGCAAATAACCAGCATGGAGACCTGAAATGAATAAACGGAACTCACGCGATCTACTCAGTTCTCCACATGGCCTATGCCTTCCCCAAAAGTCAACATTTTCCTATATTCGTTGCATAAAATGATCAGTTCCAAGAACACTAAAGTAAACAAGACAGTACGGTGTTCAGTTTATACCAATAGCAAATAAGAGTGTGTTTGAAAATATGCTTCCAGGCTGACTAATCGAGACTGCGCTTTTCTCCAAAATATAAAGTTTGGCTTTGTAATCCAATAACCCTGCAGTCGCACGAGGTTAAAAGTCATTGGTTACGAGAGATTACAAAGTTCAACTTGAACTCAGAAGTTATCATGGCTGAGTGATTCCCCGGTGTCATAGTAACATAAAATATGCATCCTGGATCAATATACAAGCATGATTGTAAGAACGAAAAGGGCACTTGAAAAAATTCCATGTTTGTACTTGTGTACAACCACTGCGAATATTACGGGCTTCTTAGCATTTCCCTCAACACATATGTTCATGCATACGATGGTTACACGTGCATTTATATTAACTGAAGCTTATACCAAGATTTTTCTCAACTTTGTGCATTGAAATATGTCCCTTAATGACATTTTAAAAGCAATGTGAAATTCTTCGCTTTGGTCGATAGGATTTCACTCGAAGTTCCGTGTTCATCTAGAATATTATCAGAAACTTCGTTGCCTGACAAGCATGTTGTCGGTTAGATAATTGTTGTAATTGTTTATGTATCAATAGTGAGATACTCGAAAACTGAGCCATCGACGAATGAACCATCGCCTATCCACATTAAATCAAATGGCATAAACCAATTAGAATTTGGGTGCTCAACCACATACGTCGGTGGAATGGAAAGACAGTTGAAGTATCGAATGGCTGAGCATATTCAGGTGTGGCTGCGAAAGATAATGCATAGTGATTTCATCATAATTCTATCAATAACCGAGCAGAAGTCAATCAGATCATCATTCACTTGACATCATTGGTAAACTGAGCATTACGTGATCGCAAGTCAGGCATTGAAAGTAATATACTCGTCCAGGAGCAACTAGTCATAAGGATATGTGGAGGCCCCTTTGATCCGTAAATATTACCTTGAACTGTGCAAACAACCCGAGTTTGTGATCAGTTTATCGTTGCTCTGGTTACAAACTGTGTTAGTAGTTATATGTTTATCCGACAGTCGCGTGTCCATGTTCGCGGCATGTGCTGTTGCCTTTGTTATAAAGCACTCCCTTCATTTGGTTTGCTATGGAATTAATCACTGCGACTGTATCACGCATTTTGTAAAGATGCAGCGAAATAATCGAGGATTTATCATGTGATCCGCGCCTCTGACTTCTGTTTTCAGACAAGAAAATTGTTAATCTTGGTGACAACAAATGACAGTTTCGTGTCCATATATTTACTGTACTATGGTTGAAATGGTAGTCAATGTGTGCGGTTGAGTGCCAGTGTTGGTTGAATGGGTTTTGTGATCTCGTCTACTTATCTTTGGTTGATGGCCAGAATAGGATGAGAGGTCTCCGCGGGAGGTTGTTCAGGTGAATACTGATCGCCCTAGTGAAAGCTAAGATCTGACATTTGATATTCCTCAAGCTTATTAGTCTACTGACCTCCGGTGGGTTGCGTGTTTTGCAGACCAACTCCTTTGTCCTGCGTACCAGTTTGACATAGGGCGAGACCAATCTTCCCCGATGAGATTAAATCGTTCCTTCAAGACAGCACATGTTAAAGATGTTATTCATAAATTTGGTCGAAAAATTCGGAAAGGGAATGGATAAAGCTGTATTGTAACCAGAGTTTGAAAGAAACAACGAACAGCGGAACAGTGAATGTTTTTTGGATAGTTTCCGATGGGAAAAATGGATCTGTTTAGTCTGTGTAGGATATGTAACCATGATTCGTGTATATTTTCAGACAAAGATGCAATAAACTAAAATCACTTTTACTAAGGGACACAAAACTGAATGGTAAATCTGTTTCCGTTGCAGTTTTGTGGGCGCATTACCCCCAGGATCACCTGTACTGTGTACTGTACTGGCCTGAGGGAAAGTACCGATAAGATGGATCAGTGTTCGCCACCTCACGTTTTCTAAATTCAGACTATGGGAATATTTCACGAACTAAAATTTTTCTAGCCGTCCCGTGTGCTAAAGAGCCCTAACATGTTTGTTGGGCTCGGTACAAAGCTTGCTGTGACACAACAAGAACTGGAATGCATTGACGACTGTGTAACTAATCGATGCTATCCGAAACTGGATTTGGAAACCAATGCGACGACATCACGTGAGACAAGCGAACACCATTCTCAACAGAAAAGCCTTGAACGAAAGCGAAACAATCGCGCTGAAGATGGCTGTGCTCGGACATCATAAATTCCATGACTACGAATCACTGGGTACTTTATCTACAGTTGAACGAAGAAAACTATAGGATTATGTCGAAATAATGGTGCAAAAGCAGGCTAAGTCACCACATGAATGCCTACAGAATGACACGGGCCGAAACGACAAAGGTACATTACAAACCCGACATCCATTAATTTAGACAAAGGTACTTTCGAAGCTCTATCACTTGGCTTCAAATTTTGCTGTCCATATAAGAGAGTTCGACATAGTAGTTCAGATGGAGAACCTGTTTAGTCAGGTAGCTGACCTGACACTATCAAGAGACACATAATTGGATCAATTGAAGTCGAGCTTTGACAACTGCAGTTAGCAATACCTAAACGCCACAGTATCTAGCAGAAACATAGTGACACGA